AGACAGAGACCAGATAGAGACTAGAGAGAGAGACCAGAGAGAGACCAGACAGAGACCAGAGAGAGACCAGAGAGAGACCAGAGAGAGACCATAGAGAGACCATAGAGAGACCAGAGAGCGAGACCAGAGAGAGACCAGAGAGAGAGACCAGAGAGAGACCAGAGAAAGAGACCAGACAGAGACCAGAGAGAGAGAGACCAGAGAGAGACCAGACAGAGACCAGACAGAGACCAGAGAGAGACCAGAGAGAGATCAGAGAGAGAGACCAGAGAGAGACCAGACAGAGACCAGAGAGAGACCAGAGAGAGATCAGAGAGAGAGACCAGAGAGAGACCAGAGAGAGACCAGAGAGAGACCAGAGAGAGACCAGAGAGAGATCAGAGAGAGAGACCAGAGAGAGACCAGACAGAGACCAGAGAGAGATCAGAGAGAGAGACCAGAGAGAGACCAGACAGAGACCAGAGAGAGATCAGAGAGAGAGACCATAGAGAGACCAGACAGAGACCAGAGAGAGACCAGACAGAGACCAGAGAGAGATCAGAGAGAGAGACCATAGAGAGACCAGAGAGAGATCAGAGAGAGAGACCAGAGAGAGACCAGAGAGAGGCCAGAGAGAGATCAGAGAGAGAGACCAGAGAGAGACCAGAGAGAGACCAGAGAGAGATCAGAGAGAGAGACCAGAGAGAGACCAGAGAGAGACCAGAGAGAGACCAGAGAGAGAATAGGTTATATGATGATGTTAGAAAAACTCAGTGAGTGAGGGACCACTGCAGTATGTATTATGTCCAGCAGGGGGAGACACTACTTCAAACTGCCACATCAACAATCTTATCTTCAAGTCACGACGGCATCAAACATGTCATCAAAATGGTTTTATTTCAAATCCGTCATAATTCTTTTCATTTTGGTCAGCTGGGTTTCTCCTCCTCTCTCTGCGGCCCTTCCCAGAATGCATCTCTTTCCTCGAATCCCGCTGTCACCATCCATCAGATCAAACCGCGAACGCTCTCCTCGGCTCCGTATCTCCGGCTGAAGAAGAAATGACTGATGGGAAATGTAAGTTAGGATTGTTTACTGGTACATTATGAATCCGTGGCGTTCAGACAAAATGACAGCACTTTACTTTAGATGTTTCAGACGAGGACTAATGGACGTGAACGCAGACGGAGCCGGTCTGTGGATTCGGTCTCGCTCAAAATCTGGATCCGTCCCCGGCTGTCAGACCTGCTTCAGTGCCGCTGTCACTTTAACAGAGAGCGTCGGTACTCACTGAGGGTCCCACTCACTTACATTGGAAACTGAAGACTTACTCTGTGTCACACTGAGCTATTTGAGTTTTTAAAGATCCATGGATAAGTTCTCTGTGTGATCCTGTTGTGACAGGGCTGGGGAGTAACTGAGTACATGCATCGCCATCATGTAGATTAGTAGTAAGTAGTAGTAGTAAGCTTTATTTATATACCGCCTTTTCACTGCACATCGGAGTCTCAAAGCGGTTTACAATTGCTATTTTTGTTTTTTTTTTTGGGAGTGGGGGTCGCCAGTACAGGAGGCACATGTCAGACCTATTGTACATATTTTTAGTGGTAGGGGAAACCGGAGCACCCGGAGGAAACCTACGCAGACACGGGGAGAACATGCAAACTCCACTCAGAAAGGCCCTGTTCCAACCGGGATTCGAACCCAGGACCTTCTTGCTGAGAGGCGAGAGTGCTATCCACTCAGCCACCGTGCCACTCTTTCTCAGTAACTGTATTCCCTTACTGTAGGTCACGTGGTGGAAAGAGGAGGGCTCAAAATAATGATTGAATATAGAAGATAAATAAATGTTTTAAGGTAAAGGTGCAATTTATTAATCCCCGTAGGCAATTTCATCCTCTGCATTTGACCCAGATCCTGATGCCACTTAGGCTGACGTCAGGAGCAGTGGTCGCCGTAGTAACAGCGCCCGGGCACCCATCTCCAGACGTTGATGCTCGGCTTGGTTCAGGACCAGAGCTGGAGGATTTTAACCTAGTGAGCATGTTTTTAATGGCAGGGGAAACCGGAGCACCTGGAGGAAACTGAGTTGAACGGAACTGAGACTTGGAGTACAGCGTGAACGGGACCAGAGAACCAGATCCAAGCAGATCCACACGAGAGTACGGCACAGACCACAAGCAACGTTCAGGATAATATATACAAAAACATAAGAAAGAGCGGCCATAGCAGCAGGGTTTTCAGTCCTAGTGCATTAGTGACAGAAAGGGACTTATTGTACAGTCTGACAGTGGTGGGGATCACAGCAGGTAGCCAGGGCCTATGAAGCAAAACAATGAGAGAGTAAAGTGTAAAATCTCTGTGTTTTTTGCTGTTGACGAGAAGTTGTAGAAGTGGACTCTCTTTGTTTACCGCCTCCTTAGAGTCGTTCAAGTTTATTCCAAAGCTTTTGTTTTTTTAGTTCCTTGTCTGATTTCTCTCTGTGCAGTAGTGGTGCCCTGGGGCGGGAGTGTGGGCGGTAAAAGCACTTTCATATGAAAAGCTAATGCCAGAGAATGTCAGGCTGCAGCTCCGTCTGAGAGAGATCAGGCTCGTGAGCAGAACTCGCCGAGCAAACCGTGGGGTCTCTCTCTGGTCTCTCTCTGGTCTCTCTCTGGTCTCTCTCTGGTCTCTCTCTGGTCTCTCTCTGGTCTCTCTCTCTGGTCTCTCTCTGGTCTCTCTCTGGTCTCTCTCTGGTCTCTCTCTGGTCTCTCTCTGGTCTCTCTCTGGTCTCTCTCTCTGGTCTCTCTCTCTGGTCTCTCTCTGGTCTCTTCTTGTTTTGTGTTTTTCGCAGACACCATGCGTCGCTTCATAAACATTCATACCATCGACGCGTCTGGGGAGAGCTTTCAGAAAGAGTTTGGACGAGTGCTTTTTGACAAATGGAAAATCAAATCCACATCGACAAAACCTTAAAAGCTTTTTGCAATAGACAGTTTTTAAAGGTCGCACAAACTGTAGAAAGAAGTTTGGACTTTTCAGTTTGTCATTTCAAGAATACAATAGAAATATTATTTACAAATAAATGTAGACATTGTAAATATACCACCACATGTTATTGTATATGTATGTGTTTGTGTATATATATATATATATATATATAATATATATATACTGTATATAAACTGTAACAACATAACAATGCACAAAAGTAGCTCCATAAACAAAGGAATCTAAATCATGTAAATACAAATGAATGCAACATTTCTGCTCAAATCAATCAATACATTCTCTCTCTCTGGTCTCTCTCTCTGGTCTCTCTCTCTCTGGTCTCTCTCTCTCTGGTCTCTCTCTCTCTGGTCTCTCTCTCTCTGGTCTCTCGCTCTCTGGTCTCTCTCTAGTCTCTCTCTGGTCTCTCTCTGGTCTCTCTCTGGTCTCTCTCTCTGGTCTCTCTCTCTGGTCTCTCTCTCTGGTCTCTCTCTCTCTGGTCTCTCTCTCTGGTCTCTCTCTCTGGTCTCTCTCTCTTGTCTCTCTCTCTCAGGTCTCTCTCTCTGGTCTCTCTCTCTGGTCTCTCTCTCTGGTCTCTCTCTCTCTGGTCTCTCTCTCTCTGGTCTCTCTCTCTCTCTCTGGTCTCTCTCTCTGTCTCTCTCTCTGCCTCTCTCTCTCTCTGGTCTCTCTCTCTCTGGTCTCTCTCTCTCTGGTCTCTCTCTCTGGTCTCTCTCTCTCTGTCTCTCTCTCTCTCTGGTCTCTCTCTCTCTGGTCTCTCTCTCTCTGGTCTCTCTCTCTCTGGTCTCTCTCTCTCTGGTCTCTCTCTCTGGTCCTCTCTCTGGTCTCTCTCTCTCTGGTCTCTCTCTGGTCTCTCTCTCTCTGGTTTTGTTGTTGGTTTTAAATGTAATGTATTTTTCTCGTTGGTTTGTGTGTTGGATTCATTTTAACAAATCCTTCATCACTATAATTAATAAAATGAATTACTTATAATGAATCAACATAATCGTTTTAATTCCTGCCTCAGTTTAATGGAAAGATAAAAGAGCGGAGTCTGTGTCAAACTAAAGCCTGTCCTTTTGGAGCCGTTTATTCTGGTCCTGTTCCTGTGAGAGTCTGTGTGAGCTTCTCTGAGTCCGATGAGAGAAAGTGAAGTGAGGACAGTCACCGAGACACCAGCAGAGGAGAGGGACCAGAGGGAGACCAGAGGGAGACCAGAGAGGGACCAGAGGAGAGGGACCAGAGGGAGACCAGAGAGGGACCAGAGGGAGACCAGAGAGGGACCAGAGAGAGACCAGAGAGAGAGACCAGAGAGGGACCAGAGAGAGACCAGAGAGAGAGACCAGAGAGAGACCAGAGGGACCAGAGAGGGACCAGAGAGGGACCAGAGGGAGACCAGAGAGGGACCAGAGAGGGACCAGAGGGAGACCAGAGAGAGACCAGAGAGGGACCAGAGAGAGACCAGAGGGACCAGAGAGACCAGAGAGGGACCAGAGGGAGACCAGAGAGGGACCAGAGAGGGACCAGAGGGAGACCAGAGAGGGACCAGAGAGGGACCAGAGGGAGACCAGAGGGAGACCAGAGGGAGACCAGAGGGAGACCAGAGGGAC